ATTAAAATAAAACTAATGAAGAATGAAATCCTGTAAACAAAGGTTAGTTTATACTATTTTGAATTTGCATAACCATGCTAATTATGACTGATGACCTCAGCGACATTTCTTCAGGCATCGTATGGTATGATATTTGTCACCCCAGGCATGACTGCCTAACTGTAGCTAGCTGTTTAGGTGTGGGATTGTCAGTCCCAAATAGATCTATTCACAAATCTCATGCTCTCCCTCCAGGAGACTCTAGCTATACTAAATGTTGAGGATTTTACCAGTACCCCGAAGGTTACAAATGAAGAGATGTCTCACAATCCTATATTAACTAGTTTACGTGTTGTTCTGTATCGTGTTCTCATAATTGAAATCGTTTGTATACTTGGTAGAGTATAAATAATTATACGTAAAATAATTATTTAGTGTTACTCTTGTTATCTGAACGTAATAATAAATATCGTAAACTAAATATGTGATAGTTTATATGGTTGACCAAGTAAGTAGTTTGTACTGGTAAAACTAGTAATGAATTCCCCAAACTATACCTATTATAGGTTGACTGAAATGTTATGTTCGCGAATTGTTTTGAAAACTATGCAATTACGTTTAGAAAGCGTCCCTTATGCTCTGCATAATACAAAAAGGGATAAAATATCTATATATTTTATGAAACTCGTTGGACTATTTTAATTGCATAAGTTTTAATCTTGTTGAAATCCTTTTTGTTTTAGTTCACAAAATCTTTTGTGTTTGGCTTGTATTCCCCCTAAAAACGTTTAAAAACCATAAAAGGGTAGGGGTCTGAACTCACAATTTGTCGCGTGAAAACGTTGAACTGGAAACAAAGATCCTCGACTTGTTGTATGTGGCACTTAACGGAATCCTAATTTCAAATAAATAATTATATGTATTTAAATTAGCGATTATGTTAGATAAAGTGTTAGGAAAACACTTGTTTCGGCTAAGGAATGTTACCGAGACTTGATTGAATCGAGGGAATGGGCTTTTCACCACTTAGGAGGTGTGTACGGCCGTGAGCAAGGGTTTATGGCCATGAAGAGTAGTTTACGACCAATAGGCAGTTTACGGCCGTGAACTCCTTTTTGAAGGGTTTACGACCCTGGCAGATTTGAAGGTGTATGACCATAAACTCAAGAACAATGGTGCTTGATTTCGAAGAAAACGTGTTCTAGATGCTCCCAATCGACCACAAATGATGATTTTTGATGTTTTTCGGAAGAAAAGAGGTGTTTTTCAGAGTTTACGGTTAAGAGTCTAAAGAGAGAAAGAGAGAGTTTTCGGCCAACAAGGTTCAAATGAAGGTGGGGGTCCCATATATATAGGTTGGGGGCATGGTCGGTGGTGGGGTCCACCTGGCCTAACCGCAAACGTGTTTACGGCCGTAAAGAGGTTTACCACCTTAAACTCCCTTAGCCCGAAAAATGTCTGATTTTTCGAGAAATTTCGGGCTTTCGCGCGATTTTCGGTTCCGACTCGTATAAAATTTTAACAATTAAAAACATAATAATTTTCCAAACCAAGGAATTTTGACAGAAATCCAACAAAATTCAAATTTTATTAATGGAAATCAGTTAAAGATAACGGGAAAAGTTTTGGGTTGTCACAGTTTCCAACTTTACCCTTTAGAACCATTCCAAATGCTCTAAGGCCCTTATCAAAGGTTGGAAAGCTCCGAGGCTTTGCTATGTGGTCCAAAACTCTATGGATCTAAAATCCCTCCTTTCCAGAAAAGTTCCTAGTCCTCAAAACGCTCCAAAGATGGAGACTTTATGGACATGCATGTCCAATGCATGTCCCTAGGTTAAAATGGCCAAAAAAGAGGAAAATATGCCCCAAAAATCCTTGCATGGTGTACTTGCTCGACCAAAGGCCAGATGTAGCCCACCTTGGGACTATTTTGCCCTGCAGAATCATAAAGTTGCAAAAATTATGAACTACATGCATGAAATTGACAAGAGGGTAGGAAATGAAGAGTAAACTCAAGATCTAGCCATATTCTTTGATAAAAAACGAGTCTCGAAGTCTTACAACAATCCACAAGATGGTCAAGCTCAAGGATGGGTGCTTGGTTTGTTGGATCTTCTCAGTATCTCTTTCTTCTTAAGCTTCAATGTCACTCTAGTTCACAAAATGGAAGAGATTGGGGATTAGGGTTAGCATAGACGTTCTTAGGGTTTGGAGGCTGATAGGAGGTCAGCATCAAGGATCTTAAGGAGATTATATAGGGAACAAACCTTAAAATTAGGGTTTTATCTTTACAACGCCTACTCGCCAAGTCGGCCTTCCAACTCGTCGAGTAGGGTGTAGATCTCGCGTCCTTGAAATGCCCTCTACTCGACGAGTTGGACTCCTAACTCGCCGAGTCCATACACCAATACCCTAGATCTTAAATAAATTAAGTAATACCCGGTACAGGTGTTACATAAACCTATAGGAATCGATTACGATCAGTTCGAAAAAAAACTAGTTTTTGTTAGTAATCTGTATTTTACCGAGCTCACTTTAGGTGTCGGAATTTAACTAAATTTTAATGGTTTATTAGAAACAGACAAATAGGTAAAACTCATGGTTAAGCTATATAAGTTAAGGTAAGATTGTTAAAATCGAGATCTTACTTAAAGTCGTTTTACGTTTTTTCTAGATCGTATCGTAAGATAGGATCGGGATCATAAGATCCTACCAAATGAACTCATATTAAAATTTGCTCACACGATAATGTAATCAACTTCAACTTCTTAAGCATTACCCATAATTTTTGTTCTTACAAACCGTAAATATTAAGAATAAATCATCTTAATTAGAAATAAGATCATTTTGATCATGTACAGTAAGATATAAGATCACAAATATATTATTATAAGTATGCTATGCCTAACTTGAGTTGAGTTAATAAAATGATGATGCTCTAGAATACTTCTTGTAACTTGCGAAGCTCGTTGCAAGTTGAATAGATGAATTTTTAATACTCATCGGCATAGTAAAACTAAAAGAGTTGTGATCGAATCGTTTATCACTTGTAGGATGTTAAAATCGTATGATCATAAAATCAAATCAAAATTTTAACAAACCTTAAGTTAAGGTATTTGCTGGGGATCCTAGACCGTTTAGAGGGTTCAAAATAGTGATTTTCAACTTTTTAAATTTTAAAAAAGTATTCTCAAGTCATCAAGGATAATACAAGAGGTGTAAACCGGCCTTTAGGTAACCTATAAAACCTTGTATAAACAACAAATTGAATAAATAATTGATAAAAATAATATTTTTTTAAATAAAAATTATATGAAAATTGGTTTTTTATAAATTTGAAAACCGGTTTCACCCAATCCGTTTTCCGCTATCAGAATACATAAACCGATTTAAAACAGCTTTAAAACAAACGATTCAGTTTCAAACATGTTTTAGATTACGAACTATATACTTTTTGCACCGGGCCTCACACATATATAATAGGTCTTGGGTTGACTCCAACCTAAACTCCAATTTTGTTAGGCCTACATATTAAATGCTCTATTGAGATAGTACTTTGTTCATTTACAATATTTATTCCATTAAATATAAAATTTAATGGTATATATATATAGTTAATAAACTAATTTATTTTCTCAATATAGAACACTATCACTATGCATGCGTAAATTAATAATATATAAAGTTAAAATACAAAATTTAATAAAAGATTGATAAATGATTGCATAAATTTGCATGAATTTATATTTATATATATAATAAATGGTGAAAATCTTGGGTAACCTTTAAAATCTTGGCGCGATAAGAGTACGTTGTTCCACTTTATGTATATGAATGTAGAATATACGAGCGACCAAAGAGAGAAATCATTGGAAACTGTGTTGTGTGTTGTGTGTGATTTGATATCCGTTTGCGTCTCTAAAGAATTTTTGATTCACATCTACAAAAAGGCATGAAAAAATTTGAACAACCAAAGGCAACAAAATCTGAAGACGGGGTCGATTTCATTAGTAACATGTCGGATTCTATTCTTGTGTTGATTATTTCCTGTCTTTACTTTACAGAAGAATCAATCCGAACCAACATTTTGTCCAGACGATGGAAGTATTTGTGGACATCAATTCCTTCCTTAGACATATATTACCTACATCACCGAGAAGACAAATTAAAAAAAGACGAATTCAAAGACTTTGTATTTTGGGTTTTAGCAAACAGATTCGTGGATTTGTATGGTTTTAGTTTAGATTTTTATGATCACTACAGTATGTCGACAGTAAGGCGGTGGATTTACATGGCTGTTACAAGAAATGTCAAAAAAACTTCAGTTGACATTTTACCCAGAGGAGGAGAATAAGGATGTCGAGATACCCCATTGTCTTGTGACTTGTTGTTCCTTGGAGGCATTAATGTTGGATTTGAATTATCGTGGTCTAAAGTTGCCTAATATTATGGGGTTTCCTGGCCTTAACTGTTAGGTCATAATTTGTTGGTTTGGGCTACGCATCTATCTTTTTAGGTCTGATAGGGTTTTGGTTATTTTTTAGGTGTTTGTGGCTGGTGTTCACGGTTGTAAAATGTTCACTGTCGTGAACCCGTTTGCGGTTGGTTGTGTCCTATAAATAGTGTGTAAGATGTGTCAAGTGTGTCAGACGTGTATGTGTGTGTTCTGAGTGTACTTGATGTTCACGGCTAAATAGAACGTGTGCATTGTTGGAATCTATTTGCTTGTATTCCGTGCATTGTTGGAATCTCTTTGCTTCTATTCCTTCTAATTCTTACTGTTTTGCTACTTGATTCTGTTTGATCACTGTTTGGTTCGCGTTTGTGGGACTTTACAATTGGTAGGATCTTTATTTGACGGATGTTAACTTTTGAGATGGCAATTTGCTAAAAGGTTTTCTAGAAAGCTGCCCTTCGCTTGAGTATCTGGGTTTGTTAGACTGCATGCTATGCTAACTTGATCTTCTTTGTATTTCAAGCTCTCAAAGCTCAAGAAGCTTAGCATTCTTAATGTGGCCCTTATGGATGATTGCCAGAGTGGCGGAGTTAAGATTTCCTACACAAAACTGGTGGATTTGGAGTTAAGAGGTCTTAAAGCAAATAATTTTTTCTTTGAATGTCTTGACTCCTTAAATAAAGCAGGGATTGAGCCTAAATTGACGGGGAACATCAAATCTGTGTTGTTTCCTGGAATTTATCATGTGGAGCATTTGTGGATCGACCTTTACTCCTTTAGTCAGGTACATTGTGATATACTTTATGCACAACTCTTCAACCCTGTTAAAACAAAAGTTGGCTGTGTAATTTTTTTATTCACATTGTCATTTGACAATTTTGGCGTCATAAGAGAACGCCTTTGGCGCGAATAGGGTACGTCGTTCCACTTTATGTATGTATGTTGAAAGCGACCAAAAGAAATCATTGGAAACCATGTTGTGTGTGATTTGAGATCTATTTGCGTCTGTAAATAAATTTTTATTCACATCACCGTAAAAGGGCATGAAGAAATTTGAGCGGCCAAAGGCATCAAAAGGTGAAGATGGGGTCGATTTGATCAGTAACATGCCGGATTCTATTCTTCTATTGATTCTTTCACTTCTTTCATCGACTGAAGAAGTAATTCGTAACAGTATTTTGTCCAGACGTTGGAGGTATTTATGGACTTCAATTCCCTCCCTAGAATTATTTTCCCGATTTCACAGAGAAGACAAATTAAAAAAAGACGAATTCAAAGACTTTGTGTTTTGGGTTTTAGCAAACAGATCCGTCGATTTGGATTGTCTTGATTTAGGTTGTTTTGATAACTACACTATGCCGAGAATAGGACAATGGATTCACATGGCTATTATAAGAAACGTCAGACAACTTCACTTGATGTTTTACCCTGAGGAGGAAACTGACCATGTCAAGATGCCCCATTGTCTTATGACTTGCTGTTCTTTGGAGGTATTAGGGTTAAATTTGAGCTATCATCGTCTAAGGTTAACTAATATTATGGGGTTTCCCGCATTTAGAGATCTTGATTTGATCTATGTTGACCTATTGGGAGATAGCGATGTGGTAAACGCTTTTTTTGAAAGCTTCCATTTGCTTGAGGGCTTGAGTTTGATATCCTGCTTCATGAACGAACGTGGTCTTCTTTATATTTCATGCCCAAAGTTAAAAATGCTGAGAATTGAAAATGAAAACGATGAGTTGGTGTGTGACAGCATTAAGATTTGTTGCCCAAAGCTGGTGGATTTGGAGTTAAGAGGTCTTTTAGCAAATAATTTTTTCTTTGAATGTTTAGACTCCTTGAGTAAAGCTGAGATTAAGCCTAAATTGATGGGGAACATTACATCTGTGTTGTTACCTGGAATTTATCATGTGGAACATTTGTGGATCGACATTTACTCATTCAGTCAGGTACATGCTTAAGATTATTTTTGCGAAATCCTTCATTCCTGTTAAAAAGGTTTTTTGCGTAATTTTTGCAAAGGGTCTTTTACCACCTTTTTTTTATGAAAAAGTTGACCCAAATCAGACAAGACTGGTGCTTTTGTTAAAACTTTAGAACATTGATGGCAAAATGCAGAAGTGTTGAAGGTCAGCACTAGCCCAATAGAATCATGTTATTGTCTAGAAGAAGTTAGCATGTTCTACAATGATCTGGAAGATTCTAGAACATTATGGAATACTATGGAGAAGTCTAGAAGATGCCAGAAGATTCTAGAATACCCTAGAACGAGATGGAAGACCCTAGAAGGTTATAGAACATTCTAGAACACTATGGAAGGCACAATAACGTCTATACTTATCTAGGACATTATAGAACATTCTAGAAACGTATAAAAGCTTGTAATTGATATAGAATATGGTAGACAGTTCTAGAATAGTCATGAATGTATGTAGATCTAGAAACTTCCTATAAGGAGGTGGAAACACCTATAAATAGGTGTGGAGCTCATTAGCTCCAAATTAATCCAACATCTAAATATCCAAGAAAGCCTCAAAGAAAGCAAAGTGTATAGTAGTCTCACAAAGTGTAAAATCTCCTTAAGTGTCATAATAAAAATCTTGTTGTTTCCCACATTAAGAGTCGTGTTCAACAATATGGTATCAGAGAAAGGTTTCTTGATAGTAAGAACGAGTGATTCTCATTGTATCATGAGTAGTTTGTGACTCTGCAAGTTTAGTGTCGAAACTAGCTTGTTTGGTATTACCGAGGTACTACCAACACGATGGGTGATCTCCAAGTTGTCGGAGGAATCAAGAAACTCAACAACAACTAGAAAACGTGGGAAACATGTATGAAGTCCTACTTACAAGGACAAGATATATGGGAGGTCGTTGGTGGAAGCGAAACTACACCACCAGAGGAAGACGTTAATGGTGCTTTGCGCAAATGGAAAATCAAAGCAGGCAAAGCAATGTTTGCCTTGAAGACCACAATCGAAGAAGAGATGTTGGAGCATATTCGGGATGAGAACACCCCGAAAGAAGCTTGGGACACGTATGTGACGCTTTTCTCAAAGAAGAACGATATGAGACTACAGCTTTTGGAGAACGAGCTATTATCAATCTCACAACGTGACGTGATGATTGCTCAATATTTCCACAAGGTCAAATCGATATGTCGGGAGATTACTGAACTAGATCCGCAATTTGTCATTGCAGAAGCTCGAATGAAGAGGATCATTATCCATAGACTGAGGCCGGAATATAGAAGCTTTGTTACTGTTGTACAACGATGGCCCGTTCAGCCATCACTTGTAGAGTTTGAGAATTTATTGGCCAGCCAAGAATCTATGGCTAAGCAAATGCGAGGCATCACGTTGAAGAGTGAAGAAGAAGCACTCTAAACACGTAAAAGTCAGAGGAATTTCAAGCCACCTTCTAAAGAAGGATACAAAAATGCTGACAAAGGGAAGAGTCAACCAGGAACCTCACAACCATGGAGATCTCAAAAGATCAACAATAAGAGTTCTCGGGGGATGAGGTTCGAAGGCAACTGCAACAACTATGGAAAGTGGGGCCACATGTCCAAGGATTGTTGGTCAAAGAAAAAGTCTATGGAAAGTAATGTCGTAACTTCCAAAAAGGAAGTAGAGGATGAATGGGATGTTAAGGCACTATGTGCTATAGAAGAGAATAAGACTAAAAGAGGAAGGCTAATGTTCGTGGATGCCAGGGTAAATGGAGGATACACCAAGGCTTTGGTAGATACAGCTGCATCCCATAATTTCCTTGCTAAAGATGAAGCTAAAAAGTTAGGCATCAAATACACCAAAAATCCAGGCCAGTTGAAAGTTGTCAACTCTTTATCCAAGCCTATCATTGGTGTTGCACATGGAGTACCTCTTAAGACAGCAGAATGGGAAGGCACCATAGACTTGAGAATGGTGCATATGGATGACTATCTTATGGTATTGGGAATGGATTTCCTAGACAACGTACGACCCTGGTCATTTGAGAGAGATGATACCATGCGTATCACTAAGGTTTCAATAATTCACATTGTACCCTTGAAGAGAAATATGATTGGATCCCGAATGCTATCAAATATGAAACTCGGCAAAGGTATCAAGAAGAGCGAGACAAAGTTTATGACAAACTTGAAGGAGGAAGACGTTCATTCGAAGATGGATGCTCCGAAGGAGAATAATAACATGACATCACCAGAGTTCCATAAAAAGTCTCATCTTAGAAGAAAAATGGAACATGTGATGGAGAAACTGGATAAGGCGAAAAAGAAGAAAAACACATTAATACGTAAGAGCAAAGTAGAATTTCTCAACAGAGAAACATCTAAACGAGATGAGCATATCAATAAGGGATCACGTCATAACATGTTAATATTGTGGGAATTTTCCAAGGCTTGTAAAAGGGACAACTCACATGCTTACAAGATTCTCAAAGGGAGGCATAAGAAACTACACAAGACCGTTCAACAAAGTCAGGAACAATATTATGCTGCAAGAAAATGCAACCACGAATGTCGTTGTCAACTACGAAAACAATATACGAAGCAAGGACTCCAACAACTAAGAAAAAATCAAGCATGTGGAAGAGAAAAAGTTCTCAAGGAAGAAGTCAATATGCGACAGATCAAGACTGATAAACAAATAGCAGAATTATTCACCAAAGGGCTGAGTAAAGGAAAAAGTGAATGTTTTAGATGTCTGCTCAACATGATACGAAGAATGGGGGCTAGGGTTGAGGGGGAGTGTTGAAGGTCATCACTAGCCCGATAGAATCATGTTATTGTCTAGAAGAAGTTAGCATGTTCTATAATGATCTGGAAGATTCTAGAACATTATGGAATACTATGGAGAAGTCTAGAAGATGCCAGAAGATTCTAGAATACCCTAGAACGAGATGGAAGACCCTAGAAGGTTATGGAACATTCTAGAACACTATGGAAGGCACAATAACGTCTATACTTATCTAGGACATTATAGAACATTCTAGAAACGTATAAAAGCTTGTAATTGATATAGAATATGGTAGACAGTTCTAGAATAGTCATGAATGTATGTAGATCTAGAAACTTCCTATAAGGAGGTGGAAACACCTATAAATAGGTGTGGAGCTCATTTGCTCCAAATTAATCCAACATCTAAATATCCAAGAAAGCCTCAAAGAAAGCAATGTGTATAGTAGTCTCACAAATTGTAAAATCTCCTTAAGTGTCATAATAAAAATTTTGTTGTTTCCCACATTAAGAGTCGTGTTCAACAAGAAGTTCCATTTGGCAACAGTTCTATGTAAGTGAATATGTGAAGACAAGTAGATTAAATAAAGATTAGAACATTAAAATTTTAAATGATGTTTCTTTTGTACTTATTGAGAAATTGGTGTAATCTGGTAATAAACAACATAGTTGTTTATTTTTAACCTAACGTAGGAAGCACGATTTAATAGAGAAAGGCGTGAAATGTTTTGGATCAAAATCTATAACATTGGTAAGGGCTGAACTATTACTAGGCGGATAGTCTGTATATATTTCTCAATCTACGTTTTTACTTTCAAAACTTGTAATTCATATTCGTTATTAAGTTTTTAGAAAAGAATGTGATACTTGAAGATGTGTGAAGGTATCATTCGTTTTCATCAAATTTTTATCATTTGATTTGAGTGTACATGCAAACATATATATTACCATGAATAATAACTTCAATTAATCTTACATACTATCATTATCATTGTGCATTTATGTTGCACGTGATTCGGTTCTACCTAATCTGAAGACTCTAGCACTAACCACAGGAGTTGATGCCTTCACCATGGATGAACTGATTCAAATTCTCAAATGTTATCCCAATGTAGAGTCTCTCAAGTTAATTGTTAAAGAGGTATTCTCATATTATCCAATGGTATTTTTTTATGTCCACCATATATGACCCGTCTTAATAAATATAAGTTTTGACTTTTGACCATGTCTCATGCACCCGTTGTGCCCCCTCTACATAGGGACTTGCACATAACACATCTCAGATGATGTTTAGATAGAAATTTTCATGAACCCTAGTATATGAAGAAAAATAACAATTGAGCCAATAAATAGCATTTTCAAGAATTAATTTCATTAGTTTAGATTTTTGCACCTCTCATGAAAAACGTATTCTTTTGTTTGATGCTCTAGAAGTTTGATGGGTCGGAAGAGTGGGAATTGCATGAAGGTGAAGCAAGGAGACTCATGACTCCAGATGTGAAAAGAGTTGAGTTTTTTTTAATATAAGGGAGAAAAGCCAAAATTCATTTCAGATTGGCAGGAAGATATATATATATATATATATATATATATATATATATATATATATATATATATATATATATATATATATATATATATATATATATATATATATATATGTATATGGAAATGGTTTTTAGTTGGGGTACCAAAGGCATGTACTTTTAGTATAGATTATTATGTTACAAGCTTTCTGGTAAACCATAAGTAGCACCTACCTATTCATGTAATAGGGTAACTAGACTTCTTGGTTAGATTTGGAATTTTGCTTCATGATGTTTTAGCTCCAACTATAACTATAACTAGATAATACTTGTTTTGGTTCTACAGTTTTGTTCATATATAATCTGCTATATGTATATTACAACGATTACGTAAGTAAAACCAAAAGCATGTAAGTAACTTGTTATCGTCCATATCACAGAAACAAGATTTGCTTACTTTAATTAGATTAAATGTAGCCTAAATGATTACAGTTGTCTTTCAAAAGGAAAGGCTCTCCTATTTGAGTTCAAGTGAACCAAATTGGTAATTGACTATGAAACTGCCTCACATAAACTACTTATACCTTCTAGTAACCGACTTTACCACCTAACGACACAAATAACGGATTGGATTATGTAAAGACATAAATGCCCTTCAATTATCACAAAGGAAATAAAACCAAAAGTCAACACGAAAA